AGCACCGGCTGCCTTCACCGTCGAGGCTAGCTCACCCATGCACGAGAATTACGCAGACGAATTATTTTCAACCTCTCACTTGGACAGAAGGGCCGGGGGTTCCCTACATCTGGCAGCATGAGTGACGTCAGAGCAAAAGTGTGTTCTCGTGACTCCAGCAAAAAGAACTTGCCACGTACCTGGAGCTTCTAACACCGTTCTTATAATTTTCCAGCACCAAAACTCAATATGCAGTTCACGCCGCAGATAACAAACACATTCATTCACCGGTCACTTCAGATGACACGTGGGGAACTGCTACAGCTGCAGTGAAGATGAAAAGGCACACGCGACCACGTAAGTATTTATTACAGGCGAACTCGAGCCAAATTTTAAACAATAATCCTTCCAGAAGACCACTTTTTCCACCCCTCCGCCATTCCTTCGTTCACAAAACATTTTACTTCTCGCTTCACACCTTCTATTCCGTTCCCTGTCATTTCCGTTTCTTAATAAAATAAAATAAAATAAAATATAACCTAACCTAACCTAACCTAACCTAACCTAACCAGTTCGTGGTGTAACTTTGTTATGCCTGCGCCCTGTATTATAACTCTGCTTTGCACAATCGTAGTAATTTCGTATTTATCACAACGCACAGGACGACTGACCGGAAGTCCGGAGGATATGGAACAACCTGGACACAGTTCCAACCGCACGTATCAGAGTACAGATTGCTCAAGTTTCCGGTGAAATGAAGCGTGCAATCACTTCCCATATTTAGGTCCAAGGATGTAGACCAATGAGAAGCCCCGATTTCAGGACCTACGTCGTCACATTCACGCACCTTCTATGACGAGGCCGGATTGTCATTTCGGGGCGGCTAACAGAACCTGCGTGACGTGCAGTTGGGGTGAGTACAAATGTTGTTTGGAGGAGGTGCTTGTCCTGGTTCGGAGAATTTGTTTAATAACAAAATAGTTTAGTTCGATGGCGTTTCATTTATGACGTCAGCCATTCCATCGGTCCTGCAAAGAGGGCTGACCTGTAGGATGACAGCACCTGGTGGTCACGGTTGGAACCCGAAGGTGTCATTTCACTCTTACAATTCTAACTGGAATATTTTGACGCAAATTTAAAATAGTCGCGTGATAAATTCCGAGACATCACTTGAGCGGCGAGGCACGTGAGTGGTCCAATCGTAATATCTGACAGACGATCAGAATGACCAGAATCGCTCAATGACGGCGCCCTACCAGAGACCGACCCGGTGACACAGCCTTCGTTTTTGTCAATTTGTCAGGGCGCTGTGCCCCAAGACTGCTTATGGACGGCTTCCCGTCACAAATTATCCACAAGAAAAACGCAGAAATGTAGAGGAGAGACGAGGAAGACAGAATCGTCGCTACTTCTGACCATTAAAACAAAATTGTCGGCTCGAGTTTCGCTGTAACAAAAAGTGTGGGAAACAAAAGGCAGGAGGGTGGAGTAGGCCCTTCCTGCCCCTCAGCGGCACAACTTCCGGTGACACGCCCACCGAACAGCCATGACAGGTGCACGAGAACTGTGGGGGCAGGTGACTCGCCTCCTCTTCCTTCCAGGGTCATCCTGAAGCTAGTTATATCGACGATACACTACACTCCCTGGAAAAAACAAGGCCAGCTATCTGCCCGACACCGACAGGTCGGCTAGACAGAAACTAGGGGCGAGGGATACTGAGAGCGGAGTTGCCACAGTCTCTCCCTTGAAAAGGCTTCCTCGCAAAATTGTGTTTGTTTACCATTTGATCATAAACTTTCGAAGGCCTCTCGAGACCGAAACCTAGAGACGCTACTGGCCTAAGAGATAAATTGACGCAATGAAGGGCTACGCCTGTGTTTCATCACTTATCACAGAGACAGACATCCCACACTCAGCGACGACGTCAGGCAGAAAACACCGCTATCTCTTAGATCAATCGATACACAAAGAGTTCGGTGTCTAGTCAGTGATTACATCGTTAAGTATCATTCGTACTTCATACAGCGTCATTTTATAGGCTACAAACCATTAAAGCAACCGAACACGGCCAATTTCGATTTCAGGAGTTGAAACGACCTTTCATGCGACGTGTACGTCGTCGTCACTTCTTTTCCTCCAGACAATTCGTCTGCCTTTACTAGTTTTCTTCAGGTACTCCAGGCCAGTGGTTCCCAAGGATCACCACCCCTTCAACAACTCTCTGTCTTAGAGGCCTGCCACAACTTTATGTCCCGTCGTCCGTCCTCGGCACTCGCTGCATCGTCTTCAGCACGTCAGCATTAATTTTGTTTTCTCCTAAAACTATGACATGCGAGAGGCAAGTGACCTCGGGCTGTCTCGGCAGTCAGCAACTTCGGCGCACTGGTAACAAACCCGTCTAAGACTTGCAGAACGTCAGAAACGCGAACAGAAAGATTGCTTCGCCCTAATCCTCACAGAAATAGCCCAGGACTGCGCCCGGTGGTACAAGACGCGGACAGGACGGGAAGCAACCGGCAACCACCTGCTGGGAAGAGACATAATAATTGCACTCTTCCGTTGCTAGCCAACACCCTGAGTCCACCTGCAAGCATAACGACGTTCACACTGTACAATCATCGACGCCGCTCAACCTGAGAGACGATAGGCGGGGCATATAGCATGCATGGAGAAATGAGCACAAAATTTGGATCCGCTAAGAGTGCTCGCTGACATGGATCGTAGCGACGTTGGATCGCAGTTAGTATCCAGATCTTAAAAAGAACACAAAATAATACTGGCCGAAGACTTTCGTTCGTGTGTGGCCCGCGGGAGCGCAAAGACACGAATTTCTGTTGTTTCGTCCAATTTTAGCAAATTTAATTGGCGAAGCAGGGGCTCTGAGAAACCACTGTCTGTCTGTTGGTTCGAGGCTTGTTAGGGTGTGGCCTAGTTAGGACGGACGGACGGACTGCTGCGTGACCCGCGGACATAAATGAACCACCTGCAGTTCTTGTGCTACGGGGTTTACTGCGTTGAACAGGGCTCCACGCTGTTTGCACAAGACTGTACCCAGCCAATTGCAGCCACTTCTTTTTTTTCTTCGACCAATTACGTGACCCTGCCTGTGACGCGCATTTGGACCCAGGGACCGGATGCTTCCTCCATGCCCCAGTTCCTAATGTCTGGTCCGAAATTTTGTCCAAAGTGAGTCAGTCACTTTGCGAAAGTGCGTCGCCAAAACGAACCTCACGATGATCCAGAATACACGAGTACAAAACAGCCCCTTCGACGCGAAACACTTGTTAATAGAGGTCGTGCGAACCGCAGAAATTAGTTTTTTAAGATCGGAGCCAAGCTTCAGGCTGCGGTCGGTCGTCTTTGAAGCATTCGTGTCCGACTGTTAAAACTGCATTTGCGGGCTCAGAGCTGCCAACCAGTTGGAACGAAGTGCGACAGACTGTACATTCAAAGGCGAAATTTGAGAGATTTCAGGTTCTCACTTCGTGTCTTGGCTGTTTTCTGGGTTCATGCACACCGTAGTCTGGTACAAATTTACCGACGTTTCAGACATGCCTGCTGCCTCCAACATCAGGGCGATACGTACTCACCAGTTAACGTCTACAAGAGCAAACCGCGCTGCCTCCAAATTCAGGTTGCTATGGAAACCACCTGGAAGGCTGCTGCAACAACTTCTGCAGATCATCTGGCATTGTCAAAAAAGAAGACGGTGGCGACAGGACGGTCAAGCGGCAGGTTGAGACACCACACGACGTGGAAGAAGGCCACTTCGGAGATCGGGAAGGAGATGCGAGAACGATATTGCCACGGATCTTAGAGAAATGGGTTGTGACCCTGTGAGGAAAACCGAAGCCCAACTTGTATCTGACCGCAGACTGCTTTACCACAACTTGTCTTCCTCCCCGTCACTTTTAACGGGTGTATGGTAAATGCCACGTGCGAGCTGGCGATGAACGTCACCACATGAATACCATGGACCACAAAACCACAACGGGGATAACCTCAGGCCGCCGATCAGTAACACCCGCGGTATTTGATATTATTTTTCGTTCTCTTGTTTCTTTTTACGGTGTAGGCACGGACTGCTCAATTAGTATGTCCTGAGGCTCTTGAGCTGTCAGTAGTTGACGAACGAGCACGCTTACTGGGTCGATGTTACGATGTTCAACTACTGTGTGTGTGTGTGCGGGGGGGGGCGTAATTAGTGCATCCAGAATACAGACAGACAGACAGACACCTGGAAGTCCATTCACGTGCGTTTCATTTTCCATGCCAGTGTTCACGTTTTCACATGGAGAGTTCGGAGTTCAAACCCCGTTTCTTTTCAAATTATCCCTTTCGGCCACATTTGTTCCTTTGGTGCTTAACTGCTTTGTTTAGACACTCAAAGCATTCTGCTGTCGAAACGTCTACGAAAGCGACCAATCACGAGCGCGTTATTAATTTTTATAGTCCGTCCTTCTTTACCAACGGAGTCAACTCCGGTCTGAATGTATGATATTTACGAACGTAGCAGAAGTCTTCACAAAATCATAATTGTGGTTCTTCCAAAACCTTTACTTGCGAGTAATGCACCGAGACCCACCAATGACGATATCTTCCAGTTTTTAATCGACATTATATAATCTACACACCTGAAAAGTCGTCATCAAATAACCCACGGAATATTTTTGCTAACAAAACAAAACGAAACAAACAAACAAACACGCGCACGCGTGGAAATAAACTCTGCTTAAAATGAGAATAAAACAAAACTCATAAAAACAAAATGAAGAATTATTGGTTGTTAAAGCAAGTGGTACATATAGTTACCGCCGGCTTCGAACGGTCAAGGAAAATTAAGATAAAACTTAACAGCATCATTATAACGTACGCCTATGTGAAGGCAGCATTATTAAAAAATGAATCAATAACATTACGAAGTCAAAATTTTTAATTCCCTTATTCATAACAAATGTGTGGGGATATGAGACATCACCGTAGTTAGTACTCCAAAATCAAATCGCCGCAGAAGAGTCATTTAGAGTCTGCGCACTCTCCACATAATTCCTGCAAAAAAGTCATAATGAGAATAAAACATGAGATCTCTCGAGTGATTCTATAATCGGTGGTGACGTGCGTATCGCATCAAAGAAGGAATCCGTATTATTTAGAAAGGCGTGGTAGAATTAATGACAGATCAGTTTATACACGCTGTCATCACACACTCGAAGCTGCTTCCAGGTTGAAATATGCTAATGCGAGTGCTTAATGGAAGACTGGGCACTGTGCAGAATACATTCATCTAGAAGCGGTCTATCCACACGCCCTGGTCTCTCGTTACGAAGGCGGAATGTCCGGAGTTTCATCTCGGCCGCTTCACCCCCGGACCACTGGACAGAAATAATTGTTTTACTAAGCGGAATTACGAAGAACCAGACTTCTAGACCAGAATCCACTCCTGACGGTGACCCCACCTAAAACTTTTGAGAATACTTTTCGTAACAGCCAGACTTAGATTCGCCACGGAAAGCATTACACAAATTCTGTTGGCTGTTGGACTGTTTGTCGGCTCAAGAGATAAGTGCCTCGGCGCTGCTACTGGACTGCACTTGACTGCTTCTTATCTGAACTTTATCTGGTCTTAAGACAAGCTTTATGACACCACGTGACCAGCACCAACTCCTGCTCTGAGCTCACCCTTGCGCCCGTGAAATTAGGATCGGTACGAAACACATTTTTCTTTCAGGTTAATTTTTAACGAGACGTAAAATGCAACTCAGGCCTGGAGGAAGTGGTTCTCAAAATTATTTAAAATTTACGAAACTCGCATACGGCAGTGCGCAGTTGAAATGTGTGAAAGGGCTCCTCAACAGATGCAAAAACATAAAAAAGTGGTCCTCTTACGTCCGAAGCTCATCTAAGCAACATTTAAAAATTCAGTCCGTACCGCGAAGAAAACACGACACTTCACCATTACGTGGATCAACTGATTAACGCTGGTTAAGGAAATAATCGCTGTTTACACTGAGAACAATACGTGACAAATATATTTATTCTGTGGGCGAAATGCAGACTTGCGAATCAAAGGGGCAGAGTGGTCTGAGGCGTGGGCCTCGGCGCTTGGACACTATGACCGTGGGTTCGAATCCCACTCAAGGCATGGATGTTTGTCAGCGCCTTTCTGTGTTGCGCTGTCGCATGTGCGCACGTAGTGAGGGGCCTTGCGATGGGCTGACCACTCGTCGTCCAAGGAGCCCTACCGAATAGATAAATAGATCCACACAGGAGCGAAAAGTTTATATAAAAATCCAACTTCCCAATTGTTAAAGCACATGGTACATATATTTACCGCTGGGATGTGAAGGACTAAACTAAACAAAAGTTAATAAATGGTTTTACACGCATAAACAAAACTGAGTTTCCATCACCGACCATCAGTATCCTACGTAGCAAACAGACCCTTACACTGAAGTCGATGACACATCACAATAACACACAACTCAAATCTCCATTTGCTTATCGACTTTCCATAAATTTTATAACATCCGGAGTTCTTTGCGGGGAGGAGCAAACTGAGACGCGTTCAATGAGGAAAACAAAAGGTGTAACCTGGTAGAAGTTTGCCGACGTTTCGGATGTGAATACCGCCTCAATCATCGGTGCCAACGACAGAGTCAGTAAAGCACCTGAGAGGTAGGCACAGACTGCACGGCGTACCATCCCAGAAGACAGCCATCTTTATATTCGCTGCTAAGAAAATTAATTTCACTGTAAAATTACAATAATTTATTCGTCTGAACAGTGGGATCGCTACTTCGACTGTCATTCAGGCCAGGGATATTTACTTGGTCCAGCGAATGTACAGGCTTTATGACGGACGGACTGAGGAATCCTGAAATCCTCTGAACAGCATCTAGGAGAGATCTACGACTGGAAACGGCAAACAAAGGCTGGAACTGAGCTGAGGCGCTAGGAAGACGAAACCAATTGCAGATGTGTACCTACTTTATCTACACAGCACACAGTAACCATCGTTACCAGAAGCAAATCAACCTCAAGATCTACTGATAAGCAAGGTTCAACTACAGGAGATCAGCACAGCAATGCATCATGGATGTGACCCTTGCAACCTCGCAATCTTAAGATTTCCTCACCGGGAAACCAAACACAAGACGACTTTCCCGAATATCGGTCATTTCCACTGCGCACGTCTACGAAAACAGTCAAAAGCGAAAGGAACTCTTGGCCAAGCTGCATCCTGCGTTGGTGGAAAGACACAAACAGACAGCCCTTTTCGATTGCCACTCGTCTAATGGACGGGATATAAGCACAAATATCTCATAATAAATAGCTGATATAGTTGAACAGCCCACAATTTTGTAAATTATCAAGCAGAGTCAAAATACGGCTTGCAAGAGCCAGGTGTTAAAATTTTTTTTACAATGGGTTCCTCCCGTGGGACAAAACACAGACGCAAAAGACGAAAATACAACTAATTCTGTTATTTAGAATTTCAGAGATCACAGACTGGTTATTTAAAACAATGGCGCACTAAGCAGACCAGCTAAAAATTATGCCTTACAGAGAGGTTTTCAATTTGGATCACGCACAAAAACTAAGGATGCTCAAAAAGCACGTTCTGTGATCAGCAGCCAAATATTAACTCCAAAATAAATTAAAAAGGCGTAAAAAATATCAAGTAGGGATTAGAGGTTAAAGCGATATCAAACAACGGAAGGAAACCTTGAAGATGGCTTTGTATTCAGGGTTGTTGCACCGCGTAGTCTGGTATAAGTTTAGCGACGTTTCGGAGGATCTTACTACCTCCATCATCAGGCCCAGACTACACAGGGTAACATTCTTCATGATCGCCGCCGTGAGAACATGAAATCTCGCGAAAAAAATCCTGTCCCAAAAGAGCATTTTGGGTTACGTTAGACGAGCAACAGAAAAACGGAGACTGACAGAAACAAATACATTAATGGTGTGTGATGTGAGACGTAAACATTGAAGAAATATTGATTAACCAACAGAAGACCGAGAGATTAGTAAGTTTAATTAACGGTACTCACCATGAAAACCATGAACCTTGATTGCGATGTCTGCCTTACTCTCCGAATGGGAAAAATGTTGAACGCGAACAGATTCTGAGATCACAGGCTGCAATCAACCAACACTCCTCATCGGCTACTCACAAGTTTTCAAATGTCAATAAATAGTAAAGTCACGTTTTGTATCTTCAGGATGTATTTGGCGCTATTTTGCAATCAGCGCCATGTAAAAATGGCGACGTCTTAAAACAAATGACATACGTCACGCGATATGGCGGCTGTGCGCATTCAGCTGCTTCACAAACAAAAAAAACTACAACTGCGAATTGAGAAGCTCTCTTAAAAACATCAATGCTAATAAAATATATATATTTATTTCCGTGGGAAATTGCACAACCTCGTCTACTGGCACTGTTATCAATTATTTATCAGATTTAAATAAAGTCGGTGTTACGTATCCTTGCGTTATTGCTTTTTAAATGTCTCGCTGCAAATATTTCTTAAAAGATCGTCATCCGATGTGTTGTTTAAGGCACAGCTCGGTAATCACATTCCTTTGCGATGGTTGACACCTCCTGCCAACACTCCGTATTTTGAGCGACTGTACTTATCATAAGCTGTTATCTACGTAATAGTCACGTGCTTATATTAGCACCTTTATTGTGAGCAGACACTGCTGGAGAGAGAAATGCAAACGGGCTGTTCAACGCAGTAGCGTAGACCAGTGTTTTGTCCGTCCAACACCACTTGCTACACGGTAGTTTCTCGTGTGACCTGATATAACAGTACGGGACACGCCCACTTATGCCAGTTCAGTGTTCCAGATATGGGTTTCACTCGTACTTTTACGAATCAACTAAACTTCACCTGTTCGTCTCTACAGAAACAGCATGAAAACACCTGCAATCCCGCTGTTACAACAATCACCACAAGTAACGTTGCTTGTTACAGTAAACGTGTAACAAACACACCCTTCTTTCAGATTAATTGTCAGTTAATTCGTAAGTTTCTGCCACTATAAACTGTAGAATGGACACGCAACACAAGTTTGAATGAGTCTTCTTTTACGGGTAATTAAATTGTTGTTCTTAAACGTAAAGAAACTTAAAATAACTAAACTTAAAAACAAACGCAAATTGCGCGAACGACTCGCGCCCGGACCCTCAGCCGGCTCGCGATGCACTGAGACCGCGACTTACCCTCTGACGACTCGCTCGGCACGGCACGGCACGGCTAGCGATAGTAACGCACCACAGCGGCAATAACAGGACATACATCTCCGGGCCGCTTCTACTTTCTCGTCCCACTGCCGACCGCGGTTCGATTCCCGACAATGGCCACATCGCCTCAGACTCTAGGGCCCTGAAGGATGTTCCTCACGGACAACGAGGTTAAAAACGCAAGGAATCTTGGCTCCACTCCCCCGCGATGTATCTCGTACGGCTGGTTCTACATCCGAAAGCATTTTCTTCTGTTGAACCTAACTAAACCACAAGGACGTGCGGGCAATGCTCGGGAACATTCTTAGTCAGTAATTTCTCGATGTTTCCCCGTCCAAAACAGGGTCTCTAACACTTTCTCTCCCCTCTTCTTCATTCGTCTTTAAATGGTTAAGATGAACATGCCCGGACATTCCTCTGTAACACGATGCCCATGGCGGCTACTGCGATTTCTGCCTTTCAAGATTCCTGGCTACTGAAGACGGCTGTTTGCAGTAAGAACGACTGGCACTTAGCAAGAATCCTGAGCCACGCACGTGCGCGTAGGAGATAGCAAATCACCTGGCCGAGTGCTTCGTGTCACAGATGGGTGCAGTTCGTGTCATGGGTGTGCGATCATCGCTTAAAATGTGATCATCGCAAGTTGAAAAGACGTGTCGCAAATAGCTTAAACCATTCGCCTTACCAAACATTGCGACGTGCGTGAAGATGGTGTTGCTGCCTTCATCGTCAGGGTCCTGAGGCAGCAAGGACCTCTGAAACGTCGGTAAACTTCTTTCATGTTACACGGCGCAACAACCCAGAAGACAGCCATCTTCAGTCGTACGAGCAAATGTTACCTCGGTCAGAATTCTTACTGTTTTAAAGTCGACAAAGGTCAGTTAAGACTCCCCCACACTCCGCGGCGTGTAAGTCCTAGTTAGAATCCTTCATCGTGTTATCAGCGTGTCTAAGGCAATCATGTGCGTTGTCCTGAGTTCGTGTCTTAGAGAAAACACCACCAAACATTTTCCTCAACACCTTCCTCGCAACCAACCTGAATCAAAGAAAATTCGTCTAACCTTGCGGCTACTGATCGACGTTTCAGAGGACCTTACTGCCTCCATCACGAAGTTGATAAGCTATGAGGTGATGTGCTATGACATCCTTGGCTTCGACCTATGAAGGATCTATGGAATGTAAACAAATTCGCCGTGAGACCCTGAAACATCGCCCTCAATCTAAGTTTCTCCGTCAAAGTCACACAGGCCAGCCAGCGCCTTTCAGTATTTCTACGCATTTTCTCATCTTGCGGGGCCCCTTAGCATTCGGTGTCTTTGTTACTCCCCCCCCCCCCCCCCCCACAGTATCGTAATAACGCTACGGGAAACATTTCCCAACAAATTACGGCCGTAATATAATATCTTAATCACGTCTGTGCTATGACAGGGCAGTGAAGGTAACGGAAAACACGAAGCTGACTTTATAAATCGTTTAGAGCAGGGATGTGAAACTGGGGGCTCGCGGGCCGCATGCGGCCCGACTCAGTACGCCAATTATACATGATGACCCGGTTCCCAGGTTCAAATTGGCGCTGTATGAAGTTAAATTATTAATACATTCAAATTTGCGTATTCTTATGGGGGAAAACAGCGGAAAAATGTATCTTAAGGTTGGGCTTGGAATTAACTCGACGTCTCGTTTCTCGTGGGAAAGCGTCTGCTTCTCCCTGGAACTTGTAGGCGTGGGTGTGACTGAGACTTTAATTATCTCTCGCGAAACGTGATCAGTGACTGGAGGATGTTCGCAGTCGCTCGGTTGCCACAGGGTGATTACAAACACTGCAATTAATTGTCTGGAAATATCACAAGAAGGCAATATGAAATACGTCGCGCTGACAGTCGTGCCTGAACAAACACACGCTGATTGTGATATTCCACCCGTCAAACGTCGCGGTCATGTGGTCTGCAATAAAGTTTGAGTCAAAAACATTTCCCTGTACTGTACTTCTACATAGGGCTATTACCATCTGTAAGATTACTTCTCTTTGTAAAACCAAATATTATGTCCATGAAGTGCAGTATTTTTCTCTTACCAATGACGTTCTACGTTCTTCAATACGTGCACGTCACAGCCAATTAAAATTCGACTTTCCAAACGGTGCATTCTGTATGTGGACTTGCAGGAAGATACCAACGTTTCATCCCTGAATGTGGAGGCTCTGTATGTGGACTTGCAGGAAGATACCGACGTTTCATCCCTGAAGGTGGAGGAAATATGTTGCTTTGAAACGTTACTCTCTATCTGCAAATCCATGCAACATTACATCCAAGAAGACCTCCAAAATCGAAAGGTGTTCATGAAGAAACATCTTGTATTCGAAACAGGGAACCAATAGCAGACTACAACGCAACTCCTTGACGACGGATTCTGTGCACAGAAAAAGAATCGATTAATTAATCGATCCGTAACATTCATTACCTAACCAAGGACTCGATTTCTAGAAAGGGCAGGCACTGAATTCGCATGGGACTCGGCCACGTTGCGTTCGTGATATGGCGAGACTGGGGCGCGGTCAGCTGTCAATCATGGCGAGCAGCGCATCACGAAACACTGTGCTGTAATTACCCGATGCAATGTTCCCACACCATGGCTCAGGGTGTGACGGATACCTACACGCATGGTGGAAACTGGTTTTCCTTTGGTTATTTAACGACGCTGCCTGAACACGGTCACGAGAGATCACAAGTAGGAAGCGAATTGTAAGGAGGCTGTTGTGACGAAACTCACACTGATCTCCCGGCGTCCATCGGCGGATACCAAGAGGTCTCGTGGTCGGTACCTGCTTCATATTCGGTAGGTCCCCGGTTGTTAAAATCTCGAGATTATTCTGAGGTTCTCGTGGGTTTCCTCAGACACTGGAGTAAAATACCGTGGCCACGATTGCTTCATTGAAACTCCTCCCGGGCTCATTATTCGTCAGTCATTCTACCATTCGACGCTGGGCAACGTCG